GGCATGGACTGGGGTGCAACCTACTGCCCATTGGATACGCAGGTGGGGGTGCAAGGTCTACAAGAAGAACCTAAAGGTTACCAATAAGCTCGCGGATAGGACTGACGGCAAGGAATGGCAGCTAGTTGGCTACCAAGGACTGCACCAATATCGTATCTGGGACCCAATTGGCCGTCGCCTTGAAATCGCGTGAGATGTCGTATTCGACGAAGGACTAAGCAAGGGTGAAACCACGCCTGCGAACGTGGTGAGGCAATCGAGCGAATTACCAGAAGAATTGGACGTACTAGATGCTGCTGATGGGTGGCAACACTGCCTCCTGCGACACCTAGCAAAGGTGAAACCTGACGTTTTGAAGATGATTGCCAATGGGGATCTTGAAGGTGCGATAGATCCAACATACCTTCTAGATAATGAGACAGAACTTGTCGAGAATGATGAACCAGAAGACCCTGCCAATGAGGACGATCCTGTCCTGAGCACCCTAACTGACCGCCCAACTACCGTGGCGGAAGCCAAAAGGAGCCCTGATTGGGACTACTGGTATGAGGCGATGAAGAAAGAGGTCAGCATGTTTGAGAACAAGCAGACATATATTGTCGTTGAGAAGACCCCAGGCATGGATATCTTAACTGGTAAATGGGTGTTTGATCGCAAGTTGAACAATAAGGGAGAAACAATCCGGTTTAGAGCTCGCTGGGTGGTTAGGGGATTCCTCCAACAACAAGGAGTCCACTATACAAAGTCGTACGCCGCGGTGGTATCAGGACCCACGTCACGGAGCTTATTCGCAATCTCAACGGCAAAGGGGTGGAAGGCAAAGGCGATCGACTACGTCTCCGCGTTCTTGAACGGCATACTACCGCAGCACGAGATGGTATATATGCAACTGCCTACAGGGATTAAGCACGGCAGGGGGGGCCTGGTTGGCCTGCTCCGCCAGAGCCTTTACGGGATGAAGCAAGCAGCGAGGGTGTGGTATTTCCTTGCGACGGAACACCTCACCACTCTAGGATTCAAAATCTCGCCGTACGATGGCGGATTCTTATATCACCCTATTCGCAAGATCTACCTGACATTGCACGTCGATGACTGTCGGGTAACGGGACCCCAAGAGCAGCAATTAGACTGGATATTGGCAGAGATTGCTAAAAGGTTTGAGACAAAGGATGTCGAAGAGAACAAGCCCTACCTTGGAATGGAAGTCAAACGTCAAATGAACGGCGACCTAGCGGTTACCCAGAACCGTTATATCGATGAGATCCTTGAGGATTTTGGAATGGACAAGGTCAACCCGGCCAGCACGCCGATGGCGGCCGGCATACGCCTAGAATTCTCACCAGATGAAGATAGCGGGTTAGATGACGATTTTACTGCTACTAGATATCGTCAAGGCTTAGGATCGCTGCAGTATTTGGTGTCAAGCAGCAGACCAGATCTGGCATTCGCGGTCAACTACCTCTCACGTTTCAACTCGCGTCCGCACAAGGAATGCTGGGCAGCATTAAAACACGTCCTACGCTACGTCAAGAAAACGAAGGATCACGGAATCCTATACAAGAAGGAGATGATTGGGGGACTCAGTCCTGTCGCGTACAGCGACTCAGATTGGGCAGGGGCAGACCCCCAATACAAGTCAACTACAGGTTACATTATCCTGCTAAACGGATCACCAATCTCGTGGCGGTCGCAACGGCAGACCTCAGTTGCAAAATCAACCACTGAGGCGGAGTATATCGCGGCAAGTGAGGCAGCGTGCGAATTGATCTGGCTGAATGACATGTTTTTGATGCTGGATTAGTAGAAGGGAAAGCGAAGGATTGCTCGCACTTGCGAGTTGACAACAAGGGCGGCGATAGATCTAAGCAAAAGGGGAGTCC